AAACTTTGCAGTGATGTTTTAAACATCTACCAGGCAAAGAGACAGCAGAAAGAATTTTGAGATGACATACAGATGCTGAAAGTTCACTAAAACAAGAGATTTGTATGACTTTAAATGCTTTTGATAGGTTTTAGCTTTTGATTAGGTGAAAGGGTTTTCTAGGACCAAAGCTAACTATATATGAGACTAGGCTCAAGGCTGCCTATAAAATGCATAAAGTACTTAAGAAGTGCCCTGACCAATCCCTATGTTGGGTGAAGTGCCTGTGTATGAGCTTGGCTGGTTTGTAAAGGATTTTGCAATCGCTGGGGAAGGCAATTTTACAACTGCAAGCTATGACTGTGGGAACACTTATCCAACTCATACACAACAGAAGCAACAGTAAGAACCTTTTACTGAGTGCAAAGTTTATTTTGACACATGTAACATGCATTCATTCATAAAGGATTTCAATTCAAAATTCAAAGAATCCCTTTCAGGATCAAGAAGAATTGGTCTGGAAGTCAACTTACTTATTTCCTCCAGAGCATCATAGATGTATTTTACTGTGAAAACTCTGGCTCTTCCCCTCCTTTTATATATCAGTCAATGAATTTGATCCCTCAAACAACATGATAAATAGATCAGTGTTTTTTAAATCAAATTCAATCACAACATTTTAACACACACTTAAATGCGCTAGGTATCAAACTTGGGTTGGATTTTTTATTTTTTCATGTTAGGTATGTCAGAGCTGTATGACAAAATGGAATTAGTAGGCTCAGACGTACTGCAGGGACAAAATGGCATAAAAGGCAAAGAGAGCATGCAATGGCTTGCACTTTCCCCATTGCCACTGCCGGGTGTAATCCATGTTGTATTTGTCCTCCCTCTCATCTCTTACTCTCACTGTGTTATTCCATCATTTTGCTTCTGTTCTTTGTTCTAATAAGGCTTCCCATATGTTGCCATGAATCACTGTGATGTAAATTACCCTGTCCTGTTGAGATCCATGATGGTTGTTCAACCTGGAAAGTGGTATACCTGAGGTTTCCAAAATTCTACTAAAAAATAAAGGCCTCTAATGACAATTGTGAACAGGTTGGATTGATTTTAGGAGGAATATGTTTTCTGGTTAAGATGCCAAGTTGTTAATGAAGCAAACAACCCAAAATTACAAGGGTGGCAGAGGAAGCTAAGCAATCTGTCAGTGGTGGGAGAGGCTAAAAGAGGACACAGAAGTGATGTGGATCTGCCTCTGCTGTACAGTGCTCAAGCCTGGAGTCTTAAAATTCTGCCTGAAGATGTACAGGCATGCCTATATCTTCTAGTGTGTGAATTTGAATTGGGACTCTCACTGATTTCATGTCGAAGGGCCTGAAACTTCCCCACTGGAGAGATCTGGTTGGAAACTGTTCATTTCCAGATTGTGGCTGCTTTATGTCACCCAAGGGCAGCAAACAGGACACCCAGTGGCACCACTCAGAATGCCACAGCAGGAGCGAACCACACTCTGATCTGGGCTGCAACACCTGCACCGGGCACCGAGAGCTGCTGCAGGGGAGAAACCTCAGTCCTGGGACACAGCTGTTCTGGTAGTCTCCAAAATGGAAGTGTCCCACTTCTGTTAGGGCTTGAGATCCCCTTTCTCTCTCCTCTTTGCCTTTACTTCCCACTGCCACCACTTCATTTTTGCCCTTTGACCACTGTAAATCAAATGACACTGGCAATGGGGTAGGAGCAGTGACAGCAATGACCTAAGCTTTGCACACTGTACTTTTTGCTAAGTCTCATTGCAGCGGCTCTCAGTTACTGACTTCCCAGACTCCAGCTACAGGAAAATGTGCCCCAAACACATCTCTTATTAATACAAACAGAGTAAGCAGTGATTTGTCTTACCCCCAATAAAATTAAACTGCTTTGTGTTTAGTGATAACTTTAAATGCCAGCTGACTCGAAGGTGTTTTGAAAAACTCCCCTTCTGTGTGAAAACCCACGGTGTCAGCGTAAGGCTTAGCGTGTGCAGAACTTGTTTCTCTTACCTTTGCCTGATGCATTGATGCCAGAGAGCGACTGATGACAGCTGACAGGCTGAGGGATTGATGCTGCTGCACCCATTTTTATTTCCACTTTATTGTCTGCAAGTCTGTGCTGGGACAGGGACAAAGGTGGTTTGCTTGGGGCTCTCATAATATACTCTCTTTCTCTCTGCTTTCCAGAAAGAAGAAATGCTATGGCTCTCTCTTCTTTGAACATTGTAAGAGTGTATCCATAAATGTAAAAGCTAATTACAAGAGATAGAAATATAAGTATTTCAAAGCATAGAATCATATTTTAAACTGAAATGCATTTAAGTTTTAAAATACATGACCAAAATATATTTAAAATATCACGTAACTGAGCAGCTGCTATATTGATGTACCTTATTAAAGGAGATAGGGTTATAAAATTCTGTTGCTCACAATGTTTCCTGACTCTAGGAAGACTCTTCTCCCACTTTAAATGTTGTTGACATCGCCCAGGATTCTCAGGGAAAAGTATCTCACATATCAGGAAAGGTAGCTGAAAATCGCTGTTGCAATTTTTCATGAGAAATTTCTTGTGACATGCACTTTGTGGAAAATCAAAACTCACATCTTCCTTTGTCAGTGAGATGGGAAATGACTGAAAATGAAACAGGCTGAAAATGAAAATATTCCAACAAAAGTGCCTAGGTTTGTCTTTCAGGCATGCATTCAAAACCAAGGACATTTTAAAAGAAAGGAAAATATCTCTTCTTTTTTTTCTAATGATTTAAACTTTTTTTTCATCCTAAACAGTATTTTTTCATTGTTTTTATGTATCAACTCTAAACACAAATCTATTGTCCACTGAGCAAAATATAGAATTTCTGCTTTTGCTACTGGCTTTTGCATGTGACAAGGAGTGGATAAACAGCCCTGATAAGGAAATTAATTGGAGTTGTTTAATAAGATCACTCTTACTGATACTCATGTGTTCATTTTTCTCATTATTCCAAAGGACTGCAAACAAATTAGGGTTTTTTGTAAGTTCTGAAAGCTCAGACATACAAGGCACTAGAAATTGGAACAAACACAAATTAAAATGCATGGGGGAATGTAAATATGTGTTGTTACATTATGCAGTGCCATAGAACTCCAAAGAAAAGATTGAAGGAAAAAATTCAGACAAATTTGTCCATATAGGAATGAAACTTTAACCTCACAACTACATTCAGCACATCTATCAGCTTATTGCTCAGATTCATTGTCAGAAGACATCAGTCTTCTCTATATGCCCAGCATCCCATGCAACATTTAAATATGTAATGATATTAACTACACTCTTACACATCTGTGTATGAACTGCTTTAACTAGAAAGTGCTCCCCGGTAATTAACTGTGCTTAAACTTTTATTATTATCTCTTAGTTTTTGAGAATATTAATTATTAGGCAAGTCATTATATGAACCAGCTCTACTTGTTTACCTGTAGAAGAAAAAAAAGTTCTTTCTCAAAAAATACACCCATTCTACATAATCACAAGAATTTCACTCTAAGTGATTTTAGAGTATGTCACTAATTTCAGTCCTGATTCAGGTAAGCATCATATCTGAGATCCTTGCTGTGAACAGGCAGTTGTGTCTGTTATAGGGCTTCTGGAGTGCAGACCTACATCTCTAGAAACAAAGATGATGTAAAATTAAGAGGAAAACCAGCAGTAGAAGCATGATGGTAAGAGAATATTTCTGGGGTTTGTGTTTCTAAGGTGGTCTACAGTGAAGAGCTAGACCAAACTCTAACTCCAGAATTGCTTTTAACACTTCCCTTGTCACAATGAGAACCTTGCTGGCAGCAGTCATATACCCTGAAAGTGCATCATGAGGACAGAGCTCATCTCTCCCTTTATAAACTTGTTTGCCACAATTTAGTGATTATAAAGATCAAGTATGAATCAATCACCACAAAAGTGTTCTGATGTTATAATCCCCCAGAAATAACAGACAAACTATACCCAAACCAAACCAAACCAACAAAAAATATGCATGGAAAACCTTACATATACAAATTGGCTTTTGTTTCCTATGTCAGAAGAAAAGTTATCTATAACTGTTATTATTGACCTCAGAGGAGCTGCATTTCACATGTGATCATGAGTTAAAGTTGAACTGCCCCAGGTGATTACCTATGACTTATATGTCTAATTTTCAGGTGTTTACATTACAACCAACGTCTCTGTCCTGCTACTTCAGAATTGCCAGTCCCAACTGGGAATTCTGCCCCTTTGGAAATCTACCCTGTATTTCTGAAGGGCAAAGATTTATAACAAGCAATTCAGATTTATGCCATTCCACAGCACTTTAGTCGTCCACAGCCTCAGCTCAGCTGTGGGCCAGGGACAAATGACCCGGGAAGGACAGGATGCTGCTAGCACAGCTGGAGGCACAGCTGGAGGCACAGCTGGAGGAACAGCTGTGCTGCCCACCCGGCGTGCCCGGACCCTGCTCCATCGCTATGCGCTGGAAGCCCGAGCCGCGTCCTCTCCAAACCATTCCAATTGCAAGAATGCCTTTGAGCTCAGCACCCGGCAAGGCCGGGCAGCTGAATCTGCGGGGGCAGGGGAGGAGGCACGAAGACGTATAAGGGCCGCGAAGGGAGGGGTGTGAGGTGTTGCCCCCGCAAGGGAAGATGCGCTGGGGTCTGCCGGGTCAGGCCCTACAGCAGCGCCCCGTCCCCCGTAGGCGGCCCTGGAGAGGATGCTTCTGAGGGGAGCAAACCCCCACAGTGCCTCGCCGTCGGTGCGGACGCCCTGCGCCCACGGCGTGGATGTGTCCCCGGAGCCCCGTCCGCCCCGGCACCGCGGGAAGCGGCAGGGGCCGGGCCACTGCCCCACCAGAGCGGCTCCCTCCCTCTTCTCTGCCTTCCCCTGCCGGCCGGGATTGGCTGTGCCCGGCCGGCGGGCGGGCGGGAGGCGCGGGCGGGACACGGGGCGCCCCGACGGCGCAGCAGAGCGCGGAACTCGGCCCTCGGAGCGCGGAGCCGCTGCCTCTGCGCACCAGCTGCCAGGCTGCCCTCCACCGCTATCTGCTTTCGTTTTGTTTCTTTTTTTTTTCCTTCCCTCCTTGGGACTGAAAGCAGGATCGGCGTCCCTGAAACTGCTATGCCAGCTGAACTCTCCCGGGCCGTGGGAATGCACGCTATCTCCGACCTGCACTCCTCCCTCCCTCTGCGGCTCCTCAACAAGGGGCCCGAGTACCTCCGCAGGCAGATGGAGGCCGGCAACCCGGGCAGGAAAAGTGCCGTGGAGAGACTGGCCGCCGATAAGGCCAAGTACGTAAAGAGCCAGCAGGTCATCAGCACCAGGCAAGAGCCCGTCATCTCGCTCAGCTCAGCCTCGGAGAGCAGCAGCGAGACCTGTTCGGTGGAGAGCAAAGCAGTCAGCAGGGACTTGGGCAGAGGGAAGGGCGCGAAGCCCCTGGAGCTGGCCAAGGCGGGGTACTCCTGCCGCGCCCCCTTGCAGCACGGCCCCCCCATCGCCAGGCGCAGCACCCACAAGAGACAGATGCGGCCGGATTCCCTGGTGATTTACCGTCAGAAATGCGAGTTTGGGAGAGGTCAAAGCCAGGACAGCTCGCGGGGGAACTTGGTGAAGAGAATCTTCCATGGGTCCATAAAGGAGAAGCAGTTGCCTTCCCCTGAGTTGCCCAGAGTCATGGAGGACACCGCGGGCACCGAGAGCAATGAGCCCCTCTCGGCAAAAGATGGTGACCGTGAGCCAAGCGACTATGCAGTGGAGCAAACGGTCCCTGTGAGCACCGAAGGCCCAGGGGTATGTACAAAAGAGCATGAGAGACCCTCAAACCTGAGTGTACCTCCTGACGAGGTCAAGGAGGTGAAGAGGAGAGGTCTCCATCGGTCCCAGTCGGACATCAGCTCTCGCTACTCTAAGTCCTTTGCTGAGTTTGATACATTTTTCAAGTACTGTGGCCTGGAGCAGGAGGTCATTGAGGACCTTGGAAGAGAGAACTTCTCCGTGGTGTCTGACAATGTCTCCTTCAAGTTCCGCAGCATCAGTGTGGCAACATCTGAGAGCGACTTTACGAGGCACAGTGGGGATGAGGGGCTGCTGGAGGATGAACTCACAGAGCAGGTCCCAAGCAGCACCTCTGTGGTCGAGCGAAATGCTCGGATAATCAAATGGTTGTATACGTGTAAGAAAGCCAAGGAGAATAACAAGGTGATCCAGGAACTGGCGTGATGGCTTCTTTCAGCGTGCGTTGCAGCCTGGTGAACTCAAGGTGTGTGCAAAGCCTCACCCTGGTGATTTGTGTATTTCTCTTTCCTCTTTAAGGAGCAGTTGGCTTTTCTAAGTTTATCTTATCTTTTCATGAAGGGCTGAAGGAAAATGTATTTCGTTTACTGTGTGTTCCAAGTATGGCTTATTTGCAAAGCAGAAATCCATGTTGTTACAAAAACCAAAATAAAAACAAATTAATGTTTGCAGCTTGCCAGGTTTAGGTTAGACCCCCCCACATGAAATTAAAGATTCACTGTCTGTGAAGGATGCCTGTACTCTGCAGATTCCTGCTTGCAAATAGCTTGTTTTCTCTGATTTCTGATATATTAAATGCTAGGAAAAAAAAAACAACAACAAAAAACATTAGAAAAGTATGCAACCTTTGGTTACAGTTGCTTGGATAACAGGCTGAACTGAAACTCTTACTCATTAGGAGTACACTATATTTATACTCTACTGCTGAAACTCTTACTCGTTAGGAGTATACTGTATTTATACTATACTGCTACAGTTTTCCCCTCCTTACTTTCCTTCACTCTCTCTCCTTCCCCTCGCACATAGGTGCCCTCAAGTATCAGGAAAGCAAAACTGAGTCAGTGGTCCTGCTAGCAATCTTATTTCCTCCACAGCTTTCTGCTGGGGCCATAAGTTTGTTCCAGGTGGACCCCTAGTGTTTCACAGGCTTTGGGTTTTCCTCTGCAGTGGGGTTTGCCATGTGGTTTGGCAGTGGTAGCTGGGAATGGGTTGTGTGGTTTGCCTTGGTCAGAGGGGTACTTCACTGTTTAAACTAAAGGTAACTAATACGAATGTGTGGATCTAGACTTGGAAATCAATTACTTCACAGGCAGAAGCAGAACAAATTCAGCCCTGCTAAAAGCAGATATCCTGGTTTTTAAAAAAGCAGTGTTTATTTTGCATATGATCTCCTGAAAAAGAACTATATTCATGGAGCCTTTGGTATTGATCTAGGAGATAACAGTTTTTCTCCTTCCAGTACATAATGCCCTTAGGATAAGTGCCACAGCTTACAGTGTGGTATTTAAAAATTGCATGAATAGGCCTTGATATGAAGGATTACATGTATATATTCTGACAGTTCGTAATTGGTGCGTGAGAAGAACATCACTTGGTGTAGACACAGCTGTTGATGGAGCACGTGGGCCTTGTGAATGTGGAGAAATGTAGTGCTTGAGCCTCTTTCCTGCATGGATGTGAGGCTGTCACTCCCAATTCCTTTAATCCATATAATACAATAATCCATTTACTTCATTGAAATTGGTTTTAATTATGTGAAATTTTGTTCACTTTTAGAATAGAACTTTTCTCAAAAGCCTATTTTCTTCCTGCAAGAGGAGGAAGAGGGAGAAAGAGCCATTTTCACACAAACATTTCAAGCCCTTGCAGATAGGAATTCTTGTCAGGTGTCTGGCTGGCAACTTAAAGAAGTGTTGTTATGTAACAGATCCTTTCCCAAGCTACCTTAGAGAGAAGAAAGGGCTCTCCTGAACTAATCGTTTCTCCTTGCTCATCCTTCTGTGTGAAAGGCCAGGGAGATATGCAAAATGAAATGAGGAAGGTGGTCATTTTTTGAAGCTCCTTGCAGCTGCCAACGTTGTTAAACACAGAGGATGGGAGGCAGATTACAGCAAGCATGAACCACTCAAGAAAAATAACCAGATGAAAGCTTGCTTTTCTCCTGAATGCCCTTGCTGGCTTTAGGGTCTAGGGCCAGAAGACCACAGAAGGAGCAGTTGGCCCTTTCCCCATCCATTTGCATGGTGGTAGGATGTCCAATGCTGCAGCTGAGGCAGGAGATGCTGGTGAGCACCCCAGGGAGCTTGCAGTCTGCAGAGGAGGTACTGCACCAGGGCAAAAGGCAAGGGCAGGAGGGGAGAAACACTCTTTTGGGGGCTGAACCACTATAACCTCACATGGGTTTGGTCAATGGCTTTTTGTTTTTAGCATAGAAAATAAAATGGTAGTTCCTAGCATGTATCCTAACAGGCTGGTGAAAAGATCTCCATGAAGTAAACAGCAAGTTTATTCAAGTCAGTCTGTGGTCATTCTGCAATAACTTTAATACCTAGAACAAGGGAGCGCTTTACGCTGGCGGCAATTGCCTTTGGCACCAACATTTTTGACAACCTGGGAAACACTAATTCATAGGGTCCTTATTGCAAACCTAATTTTAAGGATACTAGGGCTGATATGCAGCTGACAGATCTCAGCAGTAGGGTAATTTCTGAAAACTGAGAACGTACTTATCATTTAGGCAACAGAAGCAGGAAGTTTAGAGGGGTCAACTAAAACTACCTGTACACAGCACCCAGAATAAAGGACAAAGGTCATTAAGAATTACCATAAGCTAAATATTACATCCACTGAGAAGATTTTAAGGAGAGAGTTGTTATCACCATGTGATTGCAAGATAAATCTTTTAGTTCTGATAAAAATTTTCCTTCAGTCCTACACTTTCTTTGATAATGCAGCATCAAGTTGGATATCTATGTTTTCAAAATATCCAGATATTTGTCTCTGTTTAGTTTGTTTACTGATTATTAATGGGCAGTGGACTCCTGTGTAGCACTGGGGAGCAATGTACTCTTCCTGGCTCTCCCAAGCACATCCTTGGAAGTTCGTTGTTTTATACGGAGGCTTGAAAATTGTTGCATCTTCTTTGGACAAGGGAGCAGGAACCTGTTTTCTGAAATCCCAACATTCATTATGTATGAAACCTTTCAAGAACTGCAGGGCTTTTATGGGCCAGTGATCATTCCATTCATATTTTATGTTCTCCATTTAATTTTTCATGAGCTCTCCAGGACCTGGTGGAGCCCCATGTAAATAACAGAGTTATTTGAAGGATCGGATTCTTTAACATGTTTCATCAGAGTGGTGATTGCAAAGTCTGACTGTGGGTTGTGAGCTTCAGAAAACCAAGTTCTTTAGCAAGATGGGCATTGCTGTTTCATGGCTGTAGTTCAGCCTGTAGTTCAGCTCCTCCCCCATCAGTCCTGCTTGATTCTAACAAGACAGGAGGCTCATTCTGCATCCTCCTTCCTGAGCTGAATCAAGATTATTCAGCCTTGAGTTTCTGCATCCTTCTTAAATGAATGGGCATTATTCAAGTAGAAGTATCCTGAGTGGGGAATTTACTATGTTGGTAATAGCCATAAGCAGCTGAATAAAAGCTTTAGAGTATCACCTTATGCTTGTCTGATGTGATAAATAACAAATGACACTTTTTTTCTTCTTTCTTCAGAATACTTGACTTGGAAGTTGAACAAAACCAGACACAGGAAGAAACTCTTCCCTCATCTGGCTTATGACTACTTTGTCCAAGTTTAGTATTTTATTATTACCTCCTACCCTCACCCCCATCCCTTGGAAGCCTCACTCTTGTCAAGCCCAAGGGTGTCAAAGACTGTAATGACAAGTGGAGGTTGTGCCCCAGCGAGACAGCACAAAATTAAAGCCCCTGGAAAAGTGAAGTGTAGCAGCAGCTGCCATCCACAATAACATTCAGCATCAGCTCACTGCCTCAGGATGCCAGTCCAAGCTGTGACAGAAGGTCTGTGTTGTGCACCCATCTCCTTCTAGCAATGAATTTGTCAACAGGGATATGGGGAGAAAGCAGGAACGAAGTGGCAATGACCTGTGGGTCAGGCATTTCCTTGCAGACAGACACACTCCACCTGCACGTTCAAAGTTTGTGTCTTACCAGGGCTGTATGACCAGAGCTCACTCTGACATCATTCAAAATCATCCTCTTGGCTGGTGAGGACTAACTGTGGTGACTTTATCTGGGATACTTGGCAAACATGTTGTAAGCTAAATCCCTGCCAAACCTCTCTTTCTCTGTGAGTATTCAAACCAAATTGGTGTACCTAGTTTGCTCTTGCTAATTTGTCACACAGCCTGCTCAGCCATTGGGAAAGAACAGCCCAAAATACTTCCAGGATGGTTCCAAGAAGCAGGTATTGAGGGAGGGTTATGCATTGTTTCTGCTTGCAGAACAGTACAGTTTGTTTGCAATGTGTGCCCAACTCTGACATTGCAAACATTGCAAACTTTGGTAGCTTGTGGTTTAACACCTTTAATTTTATGCATTGTGAGTGATCAGGTGGCTTACAGAATCACGTTAGGAAATTGTATCCCAGGCTGCATAAAGCCAAACTTCCCTAGCAGTAGGGCTATGCAAGACAGTATCTCTGCCCTGCAAGGCAAAAAGGCACATTAGGGCACAGCCGGGCCAGGTAATGCCCTGATGACACCCAGTGTAGACAGCACCTTACTCAATATCATCAGTAAAATGCTTCATTTGGGCTGGCTGAGCTAAATGTGTTTTAAAAGCTGATACTTTGGATCATCAGTGTAGTGAATGAGGCCTCTGCAACAACTCATGGAATTTGCTGGCTGTTCCTCAAACATCCCAATCTGTCATTGCTCGCTAGCAAATGTCTTGCACCAAAGCATTTCTATGTGGACATTACAAACCACAAAACACTGCAAAAAGAAAAACCCTAGTTTCCCTTTAATTTGCACGGATGGCCACCTGTGATATCTGCACCGCTGGCACACTGGGGACTTGACCTGGGGGTCCTACAGACGTTAAAAGTTTACTTTGTGTTACCATGGATGTGGAAGAGTTGTTCTTCAAGAGCTCATTAAGTGACATAGTTGACATCAGCTAAAAATCATCTGAGTTGCATTTCCCTATGTTTTAAATGTGCTTGTCAGTCCCTGGATGGTTGGTTCTCAATTACAGCAACAGTTTGGGAATGCAGGGCATTTGTCTTCTATTTCTAGTGTTACGTACTAAAGTCTGCATGTCTGAAGTTCTTGAGATAACTGGATAACAATTCCAGATAAAATAATTGTTGAACCCACTTTTTACTTGAGAGAAAACTAACTAGTTTGTATGAGTGAGCTCCTGCAGACTTAGAGGGAAGGTAGTATAGGCAGATATTTTTTTAAATAATGGAATTTCCATGTG